GAAGGGAACCAGTATTTATTGAATATTTGCTGTATATGCCTAGCCCCTCCATTCCTGTATTTCCTTCTAAATGCTTCTGGCAAAAGGAGAGGAGGAAGTAAAGGACAAATAAAACAAGAAACAGAATTGTAAATAGTATAGGATATGGTTTAGAATAGGGGTAAAGTAAAAACCCACTGGCTATCAATGATGATATGAGACATTTTGCTGTATTTTTTTGTATTTACACCCAAGCTGAGACTTCTTTATAAAGATCCATATAGTACATATGCCAGACATGAAAAAGTAAAATGAAATTGTTGCTGCAAAGCTGGAAAATACGTTGAGTAACATGTTAATGCTATACTTGGTATGCTTAGATTAATGCAGTTAAAAAAAATACAAAAACTATATGCTCAATACATAAATACCTAACATAGGAAAACACAAAAGAAAAGATCGCCCATGATCCCACAGTTCAGCCAAAACTATGGTTATCATTTTGCTGTATGTCTTTGTAGTGCATATTTAATCTTACTAGTCATTTTTTCTATGCATATCTATTTACGAAAAAATTAGTGCCATACCTTGAACATCTTATATACCCTTTTGTGATTTTCAAGGTTGCTATAAATATCTTTTTCTGATGAATTACAAAGTTTTATTTATTGACTTCATTGTGTTTATAATCTATTCTTAACTATGAAACATGTAAGTGAGGCCCTGGGTGATACAAACAGCTAATGCTCTCCATTGCTAACCACAAGGTAGGAGGTTGTAGTCAAAGCCTGATGATCTACTTCCAAAAAATCAGTCACTGAAAACTCTGTGAACACAGTTCTGTTGTGACACACGAGGTCTCCATGAGTCAGAGCTGACATGATGGCAGCTGGTGGTTTTTTTAATAATGTGTATGTACATTTTAGGAGCTCTGGTAGCATAGTGCCTAAGGCACTGGACTGCTAACCAGAAGACTGGTGGTTCAAACCCACCAGCCGCTCCTCGGAAGGATGGTTGGGCAATCTACTTCTGTAGTGATACCACCGCCTCGGAAGCCCAAGGAGGGGTCGTTATGAGTTGGGACCGATTCGATGGCACAAAACAACAACAACATAACAACATGTACATTTTAAAGACTAACAGTAAAAGGAACACCTGTCATACCTATGACTCACCTTAAGAAACAGAACTTAACCAAACCTTAGGCATAGCTTGTGTGCCCAGTCCCAATGTCTTCCCCTTCTATAGATTTAAGAAATAATAGTCATCATCCTGAATTTTGTGTCATTCTTTCCCTTGCTTTGTTTTTTCCATTGTATGTTTGTATTCCCAAATAATTCATTGTTTCATTTTACTTGTTTTCAAGTTTTTTATAAATTACATCCTTCGACTTGCTTTTGGTCGGCCTTGTGTTTGAGAGTTGTTCATGTAGGTATTACTCTTTTTTTCATTAATATGTAGTCTGCCATTATATAAATATACTACATTTTGCCCATTGCCCTGCAGTGGACATCTGGGTTGCTTCTATGAATGATGAAGCTATGAATGAACATGCTTGTCCATATCCCCTAGTGTGTATGTGCAAGAGTTTCTACCAGTAGAATTGCTGTGTCTTAGGATATGTGCATATTTAATTTTACTAAATAATAAATTGTTCTTCAAAATGGTTATACTAATTTATACTCTCACCAGCAATTTCTAAACTTTTTCTACTGCTCCATATTTTAATACTTTTTTATTGTTAGATTTTATTTATTTAGCCAACTTGGTGAATATAAATGTCATGTGGTTCTCTTTAGAATTTCCCTGATTATTAATGAAGTTGAGGACTGAATTGTCAAATCATACTTATATGAGTCAGAGATCTTACCTAGTATCAAGTTTTATTGATAATCTTAAGCATACAGTGACTCAAAAGGCACAGGTGAAACAGAGTGAGGACTGGGACATGTGGCTTAGCTTCCCAGGGCCTGCCTTCATAGAAGTGTGTGGTCCTGCAACACCGCATGGAGCATTTATATTAGGAAACTCCTGCATTTTATAATCATATAGTTCCATAGTATGTGTGGTATTTCCCAGGGTGCCATAAATGCATAGATTCTAGGTTTTCCTATCGTATGCAATCTCAAAATCAGAGACATCCTGGAAAGAGCATTCCATAAATAAGGACTCTTTTCCTATCAGATATCACTGGCCTAGAGGTTCCCAAACTTTCCTGGTTCACTGTGCCCTTAGTGGCTTATGAATTTTTTCCACATTGCTCCTAAGCCAAAAGAAATTCCTAATGGTTCTCTTTTTTGATTAGTTCTAAACAACTTAAGTATTTATATTCTCACAATTTATTGCTATTTAAATATAAACATTTAATGGAAAATATTATTTTTCTTTCATTCTTAAATACAAGTACTTACTAATGGGATGAGTGCCCTTTTGGGCATTGCATAACCTCTTAAACCTTGGAATCAGATTGGATATTGCCCTTCATTTCTTATGCTACATTAATTGGATGCATGTTACTTTTTATCACATCACCAAAATGAACAGCTTTGCAAAGATACAGCGGCATTGAAAGGAATGAAATGTGATCCAGTGTTGAGGCTGTGACGGGGCTTATAGTGAGTAGTTTGTGAGGTGTGTGACAGATGTCAAGTATCTCTGAGTTTCCCTGTTGTTGTTCTTGTTATGTGCCACCGAGTCGGACCCGACTCATAGCGACCCCTCCTTGGGTTTCCGAGGCAGTATCACTACGGATAGTAGATTGCCCCATCTTCCTTCCGAGGAGTGGCTGGTGGGTTTGAACCGCCAGCCTTCTGATTAGCAGTCAAGTGCCTTAGGCACTATGCTACCTAGACACTTTAAAACACCTGTCAGTATCTTGGCCACCTGGTGTGGAGTCTGAGAACTTCAACATTATTAGTCTGTTTTCTAGGAAGTTTGTTACTGGAATGTTTATGAGGAAATTAAACTAGATCCACGTGCTTTTTTCTTTCCTGGGTTCATTTTCCCTTCCCTCCCCTACAGCCATGCAGAATATTGGTCATTTTCTATTTACTTTTCTGAGAAATATGTAAACATTCTAAACTACTTAATCAGAAGGTTTCATTTTTAGTAGCTATAAGATGTTTAAGGAGCCCTGGGGGCAAAAACAATTAAGTGCTAGGCTGCTAACCAAAAGAATGGCAGCTCAGACCCACCCAGTGGCTCCATGAGAGAGACGTGGCAAAGTGGTCCTGTAAAGATCACATCCAAGAAACCCTTGTGAAGCCATTCTATCCTGTCACACATAAGGTCGCTAGGAGTTGAAATTGACTTGATGCCAGCCAATTAACAACATAGCATTGTTTAGCTTTTCTCTTGCTTTATAAGTCTGCTTATCATTTGGGCAAAATAGTGTACAATGCAGGAAACATCAAAACAAGATGGAAGGGATACAGAAGACTCTTTACCAAAAAGAATTGGTTGATGTTCAGCCATTTCAGGAGCTAACATGTGATCAAGAATTGGTGGTACTGAGGGACAAAGTTCAAGCTGCACTGAAGACACTGGTGAAAAACAAGGCTCCAAGAATTGATGGAATACCTGTTAAAATGTTTCAACAAATGGATGAAACATCGTAGTGCTCACTCATTTATGCCAAGAAATTTGAAAGACAGCTACCTGGCCAACCAATTGGAAGTGATCCATATTTTGCCCATTCCAAAGAAACGATCCAACAGAATGCAGAAATTGTTGAACAATATTATTAATATCGTACACAAGTAAAGTTTTGCTGAATTTAATTCAAAAATGGGTGCAGCAGTACATTGATAGGGAACTGCCAGAAATTCAATCCAGATTCAAAAGAGAACATGGAATGAGGGATATCATTGTTGATGTCAGGTGGATCTTGGCTGGAAGCAGAGAATACCAGAAAGATGTTTACTTGTGTTTTATTGACTATGCAGAGGCATTCAACTGTGTGGATCATAACAAATCATGAATGAAATTTCAAAGAATGGGAATTCCAGAACACTTAATTGTGCTCATGTGGGACCTGTACAGGCCAAGAGGCAGTCATTCAAACAGAACAAGGGGATACTGCATGGTTTAAAAAGCAGGAAAGCTGTGTTGTATCCTTTCACCATACATATTCAATCTATGCTGAGCAAATAATCCGAGACTCTGGACTATATGAAGATCAGGACATCAGGATTGGAAAAAGACTCATTAACAACCTTCATTACATAGATGACACAACCTTGCTTGCTAAAAGCAAGGAAGACTTGAAGCACTTACTGATGAAGATCAAAGACTACAGCTTTTAGGATTACACCTCAACATAAAACAAAAGTCCTTACAACTGAACAGTAAGCAACATGATAAAATGAGAAAATATTGAACTTGTCAAGGATTTCATTTTACTTGGATCCACAATCATCATTGAATTGCAGCAGCAGTCATGAAATCAAACAATGTATTATTGCATTGGGCAAATCTGCTGCAAAGACCTCTTTAAAGTATTAAAGAAGTAAAGATGTCAAGTCACTTTGAGGACCAAGGTGTGCCTGACCCAAGCCATCGTCTTTCCAGTCATCTCATATGCATGTGAAAGCTGAACAATGAATAAGGAAGACTGAAGAAGAATCGATCCATTTGAATTATGATGTTGACGAAGAACACTGAATGTACATGGACTGTCAGAATAATAAACAAATGTCTTTGAAGGACAGCCAGAATGCTCCTTAGAAGCAAGGATGGTGACACTTTGTCTCACATACTTTGGGCATTTTATCAGGAGGGACCAGTTCCTGGAGAAAAAGATCATGCTTGGTAAAGTAGAGGGTCAGCAAAAAAGAGGAAGACCCTCAACGTGATGGATTGACATAGTGGCAGCAACAATGTGCTCAGACATAGCAACAGTTGTGAGAATGGCACAGGACTGGGCAGTGTTCCCTTCTGTTGTAGACAGGGTCACTGAGTTGGAACCAACTCAACAGTAACTAACAACAGATTTTGTCCGCCCACCCCCCAATTATTTATTTTACCCAAGTTCAAAGTTACTGACAAAGGTTTTTCATACTATTTTTGTCTTTAGTATATGCTGTATTTGTAATTACATCTGCATTTATTTTTTTGATTAATCTTTTAAGAATTTTATTAGTCTTCGAGGTTTGGCCTTGCAGGGTCTGTTTTTTTCTCTTTATTAGTGTGTTTTCTACTGTTCATTTTCCACTTTAGATTATTTAACTCATTTATCTCTAGCTGTCCTTTTGTAATCTAAGCTTTGAGGGCTATGACTCTATGAAGATCACTTTTAGCTGCATTTCATGTTTTAATATGTAGTATTTTTATTTCCATTCATTCCTAAGTATCTTATTTCCAGTATGATTCTTCTGTGGAGACACTAGTTATTTAGAAATTTGCTTTTAATTTCCAAATCATGGATTTCTGTTAGCTATCTCTTAGTTATTTCTAAATAATTTTCTTTGTGGTCAAAGAATGGACTGTGAGTGAACTGACACATTTAAATTTGATGGAGTCAAATAGCATGGAGTCAGTTTTTATAATTGGTTAGTGTGTGATTGTGAAGAGCTGTTTCTAGTTATTGGAGATAGACTATGTAAATCAGATTTGTTAATTGTTCTGAATTGTTATTCAAATTTCCCATATCCTTTTTTATTTTATCTGTGTGGTTGATCTGTCACTTACTGACAGATTGTTTTAAAGTCTTATGGTAGGTTTGTTTATACTTGTAGTTATGTCCATTTTTGCTCTTTCATATTTTGAAGCTGTATTATTTGGTGGATAGAAATTAAGAAATTTTATGTGTTCCTGGGACAACTTTTACCAATATGTGCTGTTTTACTCCAAAGTCAATTTTGTGTATATTTTTGAGTACCTCAGTTTTTTTGGGTCAATCTATATTTTCATCCATAACTTTTTTCTATGTTTTAGGTATATCTTTTGTAAAAAAACATATAGCCAGAATTTTTTTTTTTTTAAATCCAGTCTGGGTATTAATATCTTTTTATTTCTTTCAATGTAAAGGATTCTGGTTGATCTGAAAAATGAAGTTTGGTATCAAAAATGTCATGACCCTGTATGTAAAGCTGAAAACTTCAAGTCTGACTGTGAGTTATTAGTTTTTTACAGTATTTACTACAAAGTAAAAATTAGGTATGTATCTAAAGTAGTTTACTATCTTTCTGACTCAGGTTTCCCATTACCTCCTGAAGTAGGCCTCCTGATGCTTTTCAAAGATGTAAGTGCAGTTTTCAGTTTTGTTCTCCTTAGTGACTAGTTCTTGATACTCACTGCCAGAGTTGATTCCGACTTATAGTGACCCGTACAGTATAAGTGAGTTATAAGCAGTGTCCAAATGTATCCAGATACCTAATCAGCACAAAGTTTGGTGCCTTGTTTTCACTTAGCAATATAATGTAGCAGTTACCCACTTCAACACTTGAGAATAAGTACCTCGTATTCTTTCCAACTCTTGTATAGTCACATTGTGGATAGATAGCAATTTATCTAATCCCAGATATTAAGAAGTATCTCATCTTTTCCTTTAAGAAGTATGCCAAAAATACACATTTTTGTGTGTGTTTCTTTCAACATTTCTATCTATAGGATGAAATTTTAGTAGAATTGTATCCAAAGGTATAATACACATTTTTAATTTCCATAGGTGCCAACCAAAAATCCACTGCTATTGAGTCAATTCCAACTCATAGCAACCTCCTATACTATAGGGCAGAACTGCCCCCATTGGATTTCCAAGACTGTAATCTTTACAGAAGCAGGCTGCCATATCTTTCGCCCATGGAGCAGCTGATGGGTTCCAACTGCCAACTTTTGGTTAGCTGCCAGTCAC